TGGTTGGTTTTTTTAGTCTATTCAATTTTAAATTTAATTATATAATATCTTTTTTTCATTAATTAAACATAAATAACGGTACCCTTATCCTCAAAACATTTGCATATCAATTTGAATAAAACATTACAAAGTTATAGACAAATCATTTAACTCTATAAATTAATAAATGTTTGAAAATCGTTGATCAATGATTATGATTTTGAAGTATCAATATTCTTTTAACTTAATAACTGTGGTATCCACGAGTTATCACCTAGTTATCAAACATACATTCATACATCATTGGTATCAAACACATCATCACCAAACATCATCACAAGTTAATTATAAGAGCTTTTCATTAAAAATTTCTTGGAGCATCATCACCGTCGACTTTCTTACCCAATTTTGACTTCAAGATTCTCTCTAACTTTCTTTTCCTTATCCTCATCAAAATTTGAGAAGTGGGTCTTACTCTATCAGGCCCGGTTTTGAGGGTGTGCAAGGTGTGCAACCGTACAGGGCCCCGGAAAAAATAGAGCCCGATTTTTCGCCAATTTATATAGTTATTATATATTATATATTATGTTACGCAACAATTTTAACACACAATTTCTAGTTCAACTGGCTTATGAGCCGCCATTTCATGCAAAATGCTGAGGGTTTGATTCCCATCTGCTCTGTTATTTTAGTTTTTAACTGATCTGTTTTTAATATATATACACATTTACGTAAATCTTTAACAAAAATCTTGAAGCTTGGCTGGCTTTAAGGTGTAAACATTGTTGGCTCTCTCATTAATAGTCAAGGGTTCGAACCATTTGCCTTACACATTTTTGAATGATTTTTATAACTAATCATTTTTCTTATCTTAGGGGTCTATTTATCATTATTAGCAGAGGGCCCTCAAAAAATATCCTATTGAACTTGGACATTAACAATACCCTTAGTTGGAGTGACTTGCATATCACCAAATCCTCTTCTATTTCTACACCACTAGATTGAACATCATTTGGAGTAACTTGCACATCAGTTGGAGTAGTTTTCATCTCAACTGGAGAGTGGCAACAATGATGGGATATTATATTCTAAATTGGTGTGACATTCTGGATTATATATTTACCGGAGTTATTAATTTCCTTGACTTTGCTGCAAGAAATTGTCCTAGAAAACGCAAGTTATTCACTACAATCACCTGTTGTGCTATCTTTTGTGATGTATTTGGACAACGGGGAACGACAAGATATTCAACAATATTATCACTCATTTTCTGAAGATTGCAGATTATGTTATTTTTCTTTTATATATTTTGTGCAACCATAAGAGTAAATTAGGGTTGTGGAACTTGGTAATTTATATGATTTGATTTTTAATTCAATTAGCAATATAAATTATATACACGGAATTTAAAAGGTGACATCAGCAAAAACAAGCACCGACAGCCACTTAAGTGTCGGACAGAATTAACCGGCTGACACCGGTAAACACAACAACTACACCCTGTCAACAGCCAAGAGAGAGAACACCGGTGAGAGGTGACGACTATAGATGGTGACCAAGTTACAGCAAAATTCGCACGTGGTTTGATATAAGTGGTTGTTTAAATCTAAAGTCAAAATCTAGACTTGGTGAAGCCGAGCCGAGCTGGCCACCGTTTCCCGGCAACCGGTTACACCGGTATAATTGTTTTATTACACAACTGTGCAAATAAAATAATCCAAAAGGTAATGGTTTATATCAAGTGAAAGGAGAAGCCTACTCAAGAAGATATCCCAAAATGGCCGCTTGAAGATTCAAGACGATGCCCCTGTGATTTCGACAAAAAAACCCATCTCGAATTCCTCTTTCCTTCTTAAGATCTCACGTCAACTCATAGAATACCTCGAATTTCATTTGATCTTATTTGGGTTTATCGATTCATCCTCTGTTTCTTCTTTAATTGGAAGAGATGGAGGCGAATGCCGGATTGGTGGCTGGATCGCATAAGAGGAATGAGTTGGTGAGAATAAGGCATGATTCTGATGGAGGGGTATGTGTTTTCACTTTTTCTTTAATACCCATGAATTTTGGTCTTTGAACTGAAATTTGATCTGTTTGTGTAGATCTAATCGTTAAGTGAAGCACCAGTGTGTAACAGTGAAATACTGATATGAGTTTTATTTAATTCAATTTTGTCAATTTCATTTAGATCTAAGTGTAATCAGTTCAGTAGTGAATGCTTGTTGAATTTTGATACACGAGCTCGTCTTTCCCTTTTTGTATCTTCGGCTGCTTTTCGTTGATTTGACATGTGAACTGATTCGTTAGTTCACGTTCTTCCTCAACGATTGCATAATTAAGCCACTTTTTGATTCGGGATTCGATAATTCTGCTTCAGATTTGGTTTTCAGGAGTTTTGATTCGTGGAAAACTGTTGAATAACTATTCATTTTGTTCATTGATCATGCAGCCAAAGCCATTGAAGAATCTAAACGGACAGATATGCCAGATTTGTGGCGACACAGTAGGCCTCACCGAAACCAATGACATCTTCGTTGCTTGCAATGAGTGTGCGTTCCCTGTATGCAGGCCATGTTATGAGTACGAAAGGAGAGATGGAAATCAATCTTGTCCTCAATGCAAGACTCGATACAAAAGACACAAAGGTTAGCAAGCTTACACCTTATATCTCATGTTCATCAAAAACGTAATGTAATAATTGAAGTTATGAATTTAGAATAATGGTAATGATATCTTTTAGGGAGCCCTCGAGTTGATGGTGATGATGATGAGGACGATGTTGATGATTTGGAGAATGAGTTTAATTATCCTCAAGGAAACAAGGGTAGACGTCAATGGCAAGGAGATGATCCTGATCTTTCTTCTTCTGCTAGACATGATTCTCAACAACCAGTTCCCCTTCTCACTAATGGCCAACAAGTGAGTGATGATTCTTGTAAATCTTTCCTTTTTACAATATATTAATCGATGATTTCTCTTCTATTTTCAGGTATCTGGTGAAATTCCAAGTATTACACCAGACAATTTATCAGTAAGAAGTACTTCAGGCCCATTAGGCCCAGGTGACAAGCATGTTCATTCACTTCCATACATCGACCCCAGACAACCAGGTGCCTCTTTTTTCACTACAAATACTACCATTTAAGTTTAATTAGTTTGTAAAATCACAGAAATCTGAGATTTAATGTATTGTATGTTTCATTTAGTTCCTGTGCGAATTGTGGACCCATCAAAAGATTTGAATTCTTATGGGCTTGGGAATGTTGACTGGAAAGAAAGAGTGGAAGGGTGGAAGCTAAAACAGGAGAAGAATATGATGCAGATGACAAATAGATATGGTGGTGAAGGAAAAGGAGGTGAAATTGAAAGGACTGGATCTAATGGTGAAGAATTGCAAATGTATGCATCTTTTAATCTAAAAGATAGCAATTTTCAAAAACTTTTAATCTTGTTTCTTATGTTGATCTGATTTTGATTTTGATAGGGCTGATGATGCTAGGCAACCACTGAGTCGTGTGGTCCCCATTTCATCAACTCACTTGACTCCATATCGAATTGTGATTATTCTTCGGTTGATTATTTTGGGTTTCTTTTTGCAATATCGTGTCACTCATCCTGTGAATGATGCATATCCTTTGTGGTTGGTGTCTGTTATTTGTGAGATTTGGTTTGCTTTATCATGGATTCTTGATCAGTTCCCAAAATGGTATCCTGTGGAACGTGAGACCTACCTTGACAGGCTGGCATTGAGGTAATTGTTTTTTTTTTCTTTTTTTAATTCCAAAATATAATAGTGGTTATTTTTGTGATTAGCCTTAAAACAAACGAGGGCAGATTTGTAAAGAAGTTAGCCCTTAATGTTGAAAGTCTCAATTCTTTTCCTCATTTCTGCATTAAGTGAAAAAGAAACACTTGCTTTTGATTCAACATCCTTTCTAGACAAAAGGGTAAAATGGTCATTTACACGGTGATACAACACTTAATCCAGACAACATCATTTATCCATACTATGCAACATTTAATGGAAAGAATCATTAACATGCCCTAAAACCTGTCCTCATCAAGTCCATTAGTGATTAGACAAAAGGGTAAAATGGTCATTTACACGGTGATACAACACTTAATCCATACAACATCATTTGTCCATACTATACAACACTTAATGGAAAGAATAATTAACATGCCCTAAAACCTGTTTTGATCAAGTACATTAGTGATTACACAAAAGGGTAAAATGGTCATTTAAGATAATGTTGTTATTGTTGCAGATATGATAGGGATGGGGAGCCATCACAGCTAGCACCAATCGATGTGTTTGTGAGTACAGTGGATCCATTAAAAGAGCCTCCTCTGATCACAGCAAACACAGTTTTATCAATTCTAGCTGTTGATTATCCTGTTGACAAAGTCTCATGCTATGTATCTGATGATGGTTCTGCCATGTTATCATTCGAGTCCCTCTCTGAAACCGCAGAGTTTGCAAGAAAGTGGGTCCCGTTTTGCAAGAAACACAGCATTGAACCCAGAGCACCCGAGTTCTATTTTGCTCAAAAAATTGATTATCTCAAGGACAAGATTCAGCCTTCTTTTGTCAAGGAACGTAGAGCAATGAAGGTAACTAAATGTCTTTAAACTAGTTTTTTTTTTCTTTAAAAGTTGCTTATAAAATATTGATGACATGACAGAGAGAGTATGAAGAGTTCAAGGTGAGAGTAAATGCTCTTGTAGCCAAAGCACAAAAGATGCCAGAAGAAGGTTGGCAAATGCAAGATGGAACTCCTTGGCCTGGAAATAACCCTAGGGATCATCCTGGAATGATCCAGGTATTTAACAATTTTAACTTCCAAGAAAAGAATATATAATTACATTTTACATTTTTTTTTCTCATTTTCCATAAATATCTGTATTTGTTTATAGGTGTTCTTAGGACACAGTGGAGGCCTTGATACTGATGGCAATGAACTTCCACGTCTTGTTTATGTTTCTCGTGAGAAACGTCCCGGTTTTCAACATCACAAAAAAGCCGGTGCTATGAATGCTTTGGTTTGTTCACTTTTCTCTCTCATCACCTTTTTTAATTTATATGTGAAAAAAACGTAAATGCCCTCCTCATCCTCATCCTTATCCTCATCATCGAATAAAAAGTTTGCCATCACACATTGACTGGGACGTGACACAACAAGCTTTTGATGATGAGGATGAGAAGGGTATTTATGTCTTTTGCACACACATGCCTTTTTGGGTGTGCCCAAGTGTAGAAGGTTACTTTTTTGTTATTAATGGTTTATTTAATCGACCCTTTTTTATCACAGATACGAGTATCTGCGGTTTTGACAAATGGCGCGTATTTATTGAACGTCGATTGTGATCATTACTTCAACAATAGTAAAGCTCTTAAAGAAGCTATGTGTTTCATGATGGATCCTGGTTATGGAAGGAAGACATGTTATGTTCAATTCCCACAAAGATTTGATGGAATTGATTTGCACGATCGATATGCTAATCGCAACATTGTCTTCTTCGATGTGTGTTTCCTTAATTTTTTTCTTCTTTCCATTTACCATTTTTTACATAAATGATGTTTAAAAAATATATAGCTTACCAGATTAAGTCGTGTGTGTGTGTTTTGTAGATCAATTTGAAAGGGCTGGATGGGATTCAGGGTCCCGTGTATGTGGGGACGGGTTGTTGTTTCAATAGACAAGCTCTTTATGGATATGATCCGGTGTTGACCGAGGCTGACTTGGAACCAAATATTATTGTCAAAAGTTGTTGTGGTTCACGAAAGAAAGGAAGAAATAGTAACAAGAAATATATCGATAAAAAGAGAGCCATGAAAAGAACTGAATCAACCGTTCCCATTTTCAATATGGAAGATATGGATGAGGGTGTTGAAGGTTTACACTTTTTTTATAATTTTTTCTTTTTTAACTCTATACTGTAAAACTATCAAGTTTTATTTAAAAATTATATATAATTTTATCAGGATATGATGAGGAGAAGTCGCTACTTATGTCACAAAGGAGTTTAGAAAAACGATTTGGTCAATCTTCGGTGTTCATTTCTGCTACTTTTATGGAGAATGGAGGCATTCCGCCAACCACAAATCCTGCTACCCTTTTGAAAGAGGCTATCCATGTTATTAGTTGTGGTTATGAGGACAAGACTGAATGGGGTAAAGAGGTAATTTTATCTTCTAATCTTGTGAAAATGACCATTTTACCCTTTCACATGATATGACTAATCTTGGTTAACATTCATTTCACAGATTGGATGGATTTATGGATCGGTGACAGAAGATATCTTGACTGGATTCAAGATGCATACAAGAGGATGGATTTCAATCTACTGTATGCCACCACGTCCTGCTTTCAAGGGTTCAGCTCCTATCAATCTTTCTGATCGTTTGAACCAAGTGCTTCGGTGGGCTTTAGGCTCCATTGAGATTTTATTGAGTAGACATTGTCCCATTTGGTATGGGTATAATGGTAAATTGAAACCTTTGGAAAGGCTCGCCTACATCAATACGATTGTGTATCCTCTCACCTCTCTCCCGCTAATTGCTTATTGTGTGCTTCCTGCTGTCTGCCTTCTCACTGGAAAGTTCATCATTCCTGAGGTATGTTTCCCACTCAAACTTGCTCTTATATGTCATTTCGGTTAATTTCGAATATGAAAGATACAGAGAATTGGATCTTAATCTTAAAATCTCATCTAATTCTTGCCTGATCGTCTTTACAGATTAGCAACTACGCTAGTATGTGGTTTATTCTGCTCTTTATCTCCATTGCCGCTACCGGAATCTTAGAGCTCCGGTGGAGTGGTGTAAGCATCGAAGACTGGTGGAGAAACGAACAATTTTGGGTCATTGGTGGCACATCCGCTCATCTCTTCGCCGTCTTCCAAGGTCTACTCAAAGTCCTCGCCGGAATCGACACAAATTTCACCGTCACATCAAAGGCAAACGACGAAGACGGTGATTTTGCAGAACTCTACATCTTCAAATGGACGGCTCTCCTCATCCCGCCAACCACCGTCCTGATTCTGAACCTAGTCGGAATCGTCTCCGGCGTCTCTTCAGCCATCAACAGCGGGTACCAGTCATGGGGTCCGTTGTTCGGGAAACTGTTTTTCGCGATTTGGGTTATCGTTCATTTGTATCCTTTCCTCAAGGGTTTGTTGGGTAGACAAAATCGGACACCCACCATCGTTATCGTGTGGTCGATTCTTCTTGCTTCGATTTTCTCGCTGTTGTGGGTGCGGATTGACCCGTTCACCTCGGATGACTCGCTGGATGCGACTCGTGGGCAATGTGGGATTGATTGTTAGGGTTTTGACGTTTTGTGATTTTTGTTTAGTATATATATAAACAACAAATCTATCGTGTCGTGGTTAAAAGAAAATACCAGACGTGCAGTTTATATATTTATTTTCTTTTAATTTTGGTGAGTTTGTGTAGGAGTTGTATTCGTTTATTTATAGAACTTTTTTTTCTCATTTCATTGGTGGGTTGGTGAATAGGTTTCAAACAAGTTGTGAAGTTGAACAAGGTTCTCGTTTGGTAATACCTACGTTTTATATTTAAGTGAGTTTACATGCAGAATGATGAATTGAAGATTCTCTTGTTGATTGATTCTTATTTACTATTTGATCCTTCGTTATATCTATTTGATTGGAAGCCTTTCACTATCGGTGAGGAAAGTGATTTAATGAATTTCGAAATATTTTAGGATTTTTTAGGAAAAATCTTCAATTAAAAAAAGGTTTTATAACCAAGAGGTTAAAACGATTAATTTAAACAAAAGCTTCGAATTCAAAAATGTTTCTATTAGTTTTTGGATGTTTTTAACTTTTATGTTTGATGTTATTTTACATATCTACAATTTTATTTATAAGTGTCTAAGACAATATCTTCACCGTAAACAATAAAGATGTATCATACTAGGTTCATTCACTCGATCCCATGAAAGGATATATATTAATAGCGATGTTGACTACTTTAATGTGATAGACATAACGACTCGATCCCGTGGAAGGGTCCATGTATATTAACAATGATGTTGACTACTTTGATGTGATAAACATTAAAAATTTGTATAATATACAATGTTTATATCATGATGAGAGAACTCAAGTATGATAAAGCTCTTTCTATATGTCACCATTATGCCCCTAGCATACTTGGGACAGTGCCTAATGACAATGAAAACATTAGTTTTATGTCTCATTTTATTGCACATAACAAGGAAATTTAGGTTTATATTTCCTTCCTAATAATAGACTATGAAGACTACCTTAATGGTATCAGGTCACCGGGTGAAGGTGAAGTACATTTTGATGATGAAGTTAACAATTCCCTAGCCATTATGGTGTATAAAGGAGGAAGGCTAATGAAGAGGTTGACAATGATGAAGATATGCATATATATAGACATATTTGCTGAACAACCTATGTACGATCAGGCCCGGTAAATGTAAGATATTGAAGAGCTCCGACAAGACTATGATACACTACGACACATGGAAAGGTTAGAGACAGGTTGACCGAAGTCATCCAGTTTGACTGAAGTATCTAAAGGAGTTTTAGCTGGTTTGCAGTTAAGCATGTTGACTTGAGATAAATTTCGTTAACATACTTGCGTTGAGATAATAACATGCCCCTTGGATCTCTAACCAAGGACACTCCCAAAAAATAGTTGAGATCTCCAAGATCCGTCACAACGAACTCTATCCCAAGAGTAACAAAAATCTGATGTAGAAATTTTTTAGACGAGACAGTAAGAATGATATCATCCACATAAAGAAGTAAATAAGCAATCTGAGATCCCTGTTTAAAAAAACAAGGAATTGTCACAACGGTTGTTAGTGAACCCGAGTTGAAGCAAAAACTGAGCAAACCACTGAAACCAAGCACGCGAGGCCTGTTTAAGACTGTATAAAGAGCGCTGCAAAAGACAAACATGGTCAGGATAACATGGATCATGAAACCCCATAGGATGATGCATGTATACTGTCTCCTATAAATATGCCTGTGTAAAAAGGAATTTTTAACATCAAGTTGACGAATCAACCAATGCTAAGACACAACACGATTGAGAACTGTGCGAATCGTGGTCGATTTAACTACAGGGTTGAAATTCTCGTCATAGTCGATTCCCGGGCGTTGGCTGCGACCATTTGCTACAAGACGTGCTTTATAGTGAGCTAAAGAACCATCAACATTTTCTTTTGTAACACCCATAGATTCGGACTAGTTAATTTAGAGACAATGAACTTCAAAAATGAGTTTTTGATGGAAGATTATTTAAAAGGAATAATCTTAACCAAGTTGTATAATATGATAAGGATTCTGTACATATAAAGAATGCCGAAATCCGAGTTATAATGAAGTTATGGCTCATCGAAGTTTCACGACGGAACCGACATGACACTGCGCGACGTAAATAGTGAATTTATGATAGAGTGCTTTTTAATATTATTGATCTAAATAAAAGTTGTAGTATACGTTAAACTGTGACAACATGATATTTCGACTCTATGTAATGACCTAAAAAGTCAAGTATTGTAACCACTTTTGAAATAATGAAATTAACTTCAAAAATAAAATGTACAAAAGTCTCTATTGGGTTACCTACCATGCTAGATATTGTGTCAAGGTTTACAGAAATACTAAGAACACTAAAATCCGAGTTATAACGAAGAAGTTATGACCATTCTAAGATTTCCGACAAAACCGGCAACACCAATTAAACAAAAAACGCGAAGTTTCAATACAATAGTTTTTAGCCTTAAGTACCTAAATGAAAGTTGTAGATATCATTAAACCGTACACGTACGTAAAAAAGAACGTCCAAATCTGACATCGTATGAGGAAGTTATGATTTTTCCAAGATCCGGATATAGCAGTAGACAACTAAAAACTCGAAATAGAGATCGAGAGACTTTTGGCCGAAACAACCTAAATGAGAATCGAAGGTCTCAACCAAAGTAGCGCAACGGTAAAAAGTCAGGCAAAAACGGACACCGGATGAAGAAGTTATGGATTTTTAACGGGCTTTTCCAGTCCCGGCCTATTAAAAATAAATAATTAAAAATAAGGTCAAAAATAGCCAATGAAGTCTAAACAAGAGTTGTAGAGTATATTCTCACCTACGCGTGCATATAAAAAACGTCGAAAACGGAGCTTGTACGCGAATGATACGGATTTTACAAGTTCGAGACCCGAAATCCGAGGCTGTCAGGTTGGCCGCGACGTGGCACAGTTGGCCGCGACCCGGCAAGTGACTGAGGGTGTCCAATCAATGGAAGAGGATAAGATTACTCACCACGACGTGGCACACCCTTTGCCACGATGTGGCACACAAAATATGCCTCTATAAATATAAGCTTAAGGGTGCTGAGTTTGGTACTCATCTCTTTCCATCTAAGTGTTGTTACTTTGCATAATTACCTTGATAATCCATCTTGAAGCCCCGGTTTTCACACTCAAGTCCTGAAGGAAGTTCTACACTCCCGAGAATCCCGAGATTTTCCTGCGTTTTCAGCTTTTACTATCGAAGTTTTGCTCGATTCTTCTCTCGACTACTTCAAGGCAACCACTTCAATCAAGTGAGTTCATATCCCCTTTATACACCTTCAAATACTTTACAATATACTTTTAATACATTTCGGGGGAGAATACAAGTAAACACCTGATTAATCCCGAGTGAAAACGTGAACACTCTTGTTATATCTTGCATGCACTAGGTTTATACAAAATGCATAGTATTCAGGGTAGCCATCCTTGTTAAACCATTTTATGCATTCAAAGGAATTAAGATTTATGCTTAGTCAAACATTGTAAGAGAGAATAAACATTGTATACAAAACTATCACTTTAATACAGACTTAGTTGAGAACCCGTGAGACATTTACATCTTCAACGCCACCTTTTGCGAAAAGGTACAACTTAAAGTCTTGTCTATTATAACAAGAGTCTCACATTTGGGAGAGCGTGTCAAATGTTTATAGATCTATACGGGAAGTCATGATCCCGCGCCCTGACTGTTAGCTACAGTCCTTTGGGTGATAGTTTGTCATAAACGTTTCGACGCCTGAAGACCGTCGCCGCAAACATATTATGTTTAGTATGGTTATAAAACTCACCCGATAGACAATTATTATGGTATTCTGATTTTATAAACGAGTAGCTATTAAAACTATTCTTCGTCTAACAAGTGAGAACTTCTTATAGCTTTATCATATAAAACTATGCCTCAACCTTTAAGCATGCCACTTGCTTGCGATTTTCGGTCTTAGAGATTGCCTATTACTTTAGGAAAATAAGGGATTTTCCTGTACCAAAAAAATCAACTAATAGGCAAATAAGGGATTTTCCTAGTGCAACTATTTACAATTCACAACACGAACATTCATATGCATTTCATACTTTTATAAGAAAATAAGGGATTTTCTTGGAAAACACACAAACTTTGGAATGGCATAGATTTCACAAAACCGCTCATGAACTCACCAGCTTAATTGTTGAAACTTTTTCTTTGAAATAACTTGTATTCTCAGGGAACCGCTAAACAGGTTTGGAAACCAACTTTTGGGGATTAACGCTCTGACGTTAATTACTTCTTTTGAAAGATGTTTATGTATTTATCTTTTGAACATGAAACAAATACAATTATGTAAACATTTTGAAACTTTTATATATATGGTGGTGTGTACTTTCCTTACTATGAACTGTTATGATACTGAATATGACGTCCTCCGTCCTCGAACGTTTCCGCTGTTCTGGTTTGGGGGTGTGAAAATTGGTATCAAAGCATTCTTTATAGTGAATTAAGTATATCAAAATCATTTTTGGTATACGACTATAAACACAACTGGGCAAAAACACTCTGAGTAAGAGTCATACTTTTAAAAATTAAATTTATTTAATTTTTGTAAAGTAGGCATGCATTCATTTCATATTAATAGCAGTGTCATAAATAGATCAATATAGAAGTATTATAAATAAATTGTGCAGTGTAGGTGTGCCTTGGGATATGTAATCGGAACTGGGATGAATATATACTGATCAACTATATTTGTCCGAGAGCTGACTAACGTATGCCAGGGAGTGTCTGCAGTGGACAGTAAATTTAAAACTTACCAAGAGCATATCATTAAGAATACTATGGGAGTATTTAGGTATCTTCAACCGTCAAACTTAAGGGTAAATTTTACGTGCTTTAGCTTATAGTCAATTCTTAACCCTATTCACGTATAGACTCAATGGTTGGATTTCATCACCCCGGTGACCCCTACTACCCCAACCAAGGTAATGAAGGATGGATTGTAGACGACCCCGAGGAGGAACCCATGGAAAACGAGGAAGAGGAAGATTCAGATACTCAGCTTCAGAGCCCGAGGTAATCAATCCACCAACCGTCCGACCTCTATCTATTCAACCTCCTTTTAGGATGGGATTTCAAGAAACAAATCCCTTATGGGGAATCCACATCCATCATTGGAGCCAGCAACAAGGATTGCGCCCTCCTTATGGTATGTGTCGGGACTTCTACGATGTTAGCGGAGGAAGTTCAGCTGATCGAGCACTCCCAGTTATGGTATGCAAACTTGCCAATCATCAGGGTTATCAATCCGGAGTCCAAGCAAACCAGATTCGCGAGGTTGACATAAGGATGGAAGAGAACGCAGTTGATATCTGTCGCCTAGACATGCTACAAGGGGATGCTCAACTCCACACCAACTCCCTCCAGGAGCAAATGACTGCATCTCTCTCCGAAATGAGGGATTT